AGGCATTTTAAATGTTTATAAATAATTTCATGTAATCACCACCTGGATATGGTGGGAGGGAATTTTAGAATGTAATATTACTTTCACTGATTGTTTTTAGTATTTTTTGTGTTTTTCTTCTTTTCAAAAGATTATTTTAGATAATGATAAATGGTGTGAAATTATAAATGGTTATAAACATTAAAGCTTAAAGTTCTGTCATTACTGTTTTTCAAGATGATACAAGGGTTTTAATTTTATATATTCCATTAATTTATCAATGAAATAATAAATGCTAAATTTTACAACAATTTAAAATTCTCTGTGTATTTACTGATGTTTTATTTTCTATCCACAATTTACCTTTTTTTTAGTCATTTATTTCATTCCTTAAATGTTTAAAACATTTGGTGTTTGGTAAAGCCAGGTCAAGGTTATTACTGATGCATGAAAGAGCACTGTTGAGAAGGAAAAATAAATTGAAGTTTAGCTGCACTGTGGGATAGCTGTATCAGTTAGAAATAGATATTTTGTATGTGAAAGAGACTGCATCTGCAGAAGAGAAGATAAACAATGTCTTATAAAATATTTGTCACTGCTTTTTAATGCAAATGTTTAGGCAGTTGCTACTGTAGTTGCTCTGCCCCTCCCAAACGTATCAGACTCCATCCTCTTTACAATCTCCATCTGACATAGGTATAAGCAACAATGAAAACAATGCTCAAATTGCAGCCATTAAGTTTGAAGTTACAATTGAAGAGACTATAGATAGCTCAGGATTGAACTGTGGAGTGCAAAGTTTGAACTTAGCTTGAAGTTATTGTTTAATGAAATGTGGAAGTTCTACTGTTTGAAAAAAACAGATTCAAATTTTCCAATGAGTAATAGTAAGATGACCAACTTCTTTACAATGAAAAGGAGGACACAAATAAATTGAAGAAAAAAATATCGTAAATAAAAGAAACATTTTATTCATTGCAACAATAATACAGACAACTGGATTTGTTTATAATATTATGATATTGAGGTTTAAAGAGAGTTAAGGGTTAAGTATGAATTTAGTTATTCTATAATTTGTTAAATTTAATTAGATTTTGTTTAATATGTTTGTAATAACCCTGTACTCGGCTCTGGGAAGTGGGGGTGGGTTGGGGGGTGGGGGTGGGGTGGGTTTGTGGGTTAAAATTTTTTTTTTTGTTAATTGTCAATAAAACTTTTTAATAAAAAAAAATACAACTTGCATGTGCAAAGTTTGCCAGCCGGGTGTTTTGGCACGCTCAGCAGCAATTCCTATTGGCTTTCGAAAGCCAATAGCGGGAGTAGCACAGCTCATGCAAAAGTTGGAAAAAAACCATTAAAAAAAGGTGCCGGAATGCCGTTCTGAGCATTCTATGAGAAAAAAAAAGCCCTGCAGATTAGTCTTCAAATATCGAAAAGGAGGACACATGGGAGGACATTTTTTGAGGGAGGACAACACCTACAAAAGGAGGACTGTCCTCCCTAAAGAAGGACAGTTGGTCACCTTAGTAACAGCCACCAATCTCTTGTTTTTCTTTACTTCTCAAAAGAAAAATGACTGTAATAACCTGGTTCTAATTTTATTGGTTAGGAATTCTTTTTTGATATGATGTTTATGTTCTACTTTATTTTTGCTGCATAATTTGATGTCTATCTGCCTGCTAGCTGCGCAGAGTTTTTGAGAGTTGGGCATCATATAAGTTTAATTATAGTGGAGAAAATAAATCTAATAAATAGAATGGAGACTGCACCCCTTCCTCTTCTCCCCATGTTTACGACATGACCATGGTCAAATCTTTGACCTCAAGCTCAAATCTTCATATCTTTGCCTAATCCTATTAGACCCAAATTAACCCTTCTGCTCCCCCCAACAAATCCCCTCTAAATCTCATCTAAGGTAAAGAATAGAAGCCTCCTCACCAATAAATAGTAAAGTAAAAGGGCAGCTCTTACAAGGAAATGGCAACCTAGAAAAAACCCAATACTGTATTGCATTCCATCTCCTTTAATAAGAAACTTCGCCAACTTTGATGTTTTCTGAAAAGTCCCATTTTGCCTAACAATAGGTATACCTATTATTTACACACACAGAGAGACCAAGGAACTGCTCAGTTTCCCCCAAAGTGCCAACCAATCAGATCCCTAGGAATTCACACCTTGTAGCCCACAATGTCTTGCCTGTTATAAATTGCTTTATTAAAAGATTAAAGTGTCAGGTGTACAGTTTCTAATACAAGTTATAGGGCAGTGGTGGCGAACCTATGGCACTCGGAGCCCTCTTGGTGGGCACACGTGCCATTGCCCTAGCCTCGCCTCCCCCGACCCCCTCATCAGCAGCCCCCCTGGAGGAGTTGCCCCTGAGCATGGCCCACACAGAGCAACGCAGCCAAGGACATGGCAACCAGGCAGTGTAGACAAGACTCATCCCTCACATCCCATCGTGCACAGTTAATGCTGTGGGGCACGGGCAGAGGGTGTGGCTGCCAGGGCACTGTTGGACTGGCTGGGAGATCTGTGTCGGGCCCTGGAGTGTTCCTGTGGGCAGGCAGGGCGGGGGACAATGTGGGGGCGAAGCACGGGCAGGGCAGGGGGTGGAGCAGGGGCGGGGCCAGTTTTTGGGCACTCGGTCTCTAAAAAGTTCGCCATCACTGTTATAGGGCATGTGCACTTTTTGTTTTTGTGAACAAAAAGTTGGCTATCTCTGGGTAGGACAGGGTGATTGGAAATAAGGTTCTTCTCTGGAAGCATTCAGCCTTTTGACTATGATTCTACAAACACGAAAACACAAATCTAGAATTAAATTCAACACATACACACATCAAACTACAGGTTTTGTAGTTTTAGCACCTAATGAAATTAACATGAAATTTAAAAATCCAGTGGAAATGAAAAACACAAACCACAGGAAGATGGCATCTTTTAAAATTTCAGGAGAATAGAGCAATTTTATTCTGATACCAAAAATACTCTAATACCGATATCACACAGAATTCTCCGAGAAGTTGTTTCCATGCTGGAGGATCTGGATATTACTAAGCAAGCCATCTTTCCCTCTCGTTGCTACTGTTCACATTTCTGATAAGACTTTTGCAGATAAAGATGACCAAAAGTATTCTTAGCAGCCCAGCATCCAGGATTCTTTTGAAGGATAAATTATATGTAAATTTATAAATGATAATTATGAAATTGGTATATAAGTGAGACTGAAGCTTTGTGAGATTCCTTTTCTTTTTCAAAGCTCTTCCAGCCAAGCTAAGGCTGAATAGCAAATTCATACAGAAACTGCTTTATAGGAACAAAATACCATCCTCAAAATATAAATAAAATGGGGTGAATCACCTGAGGTCTACAAACCTGCAAATTTATTTGCATGTTTATATAGCTGCTTGTCTCACCAAGAAATTGTTCCTCTCTGATTAGCTGGTGACATGATTTTCTACCAGTAAATAAGAAACAGCCCAAAATGGGACACATGCCATAAAATAGGTTTGATGTGGTTAAAAATAAATTTCTGCCAGCAAAACCCAGAAAAATTTGGCCCATCCATGTGTGTGTCACAACCTTATCCATTTTTGCATTATTATTCCACCAACTGCAATTCTTATTTTTTCAAAATATATGGAATGGAAGATTGCCTTTGCTAAAATGTTCTGCTGAATGTTAACTCCTTAATATTTTACCACAAAAATTTTATTATCTTCCAAACATCCTGATACTTCAATTGATGTTTTTTTTTAAAAAAAATCTTCCACATCTCCCCCCCCAAAAAAAGTCCATTGGAGTTGAGTGGTTAGTAGACTTACGATAATCATAATTATAGAATACTGATGATTCCAAGTATTGAATATTGGAATATTGATTCCAATATTCTTTGTAGATAGTGGTACATATGGTATTTTTATGGGACTATTCTGCATGGGCAGTTGTAATGCATGTATCTACATCAGTGGTTCTCAACCTTTTTAATGCCGCGACCCCCAACCGGTCATAAGTCGAGGACTACCCAACCGGTTGTAAATCGAGGACTTTCCCTGCCTGGGAGCGCTGCACATGCGTGGTGCCGCTTCCTGCGCTGGCCAAGGCGTAGCTGGCAAGTGGCAGAGACGGAGCAGGCCGACCACTGGCTGGGCCACCAGCTGGCCCAGCCCAAGGAAGGTAAAGCACCCGCCGGGCCCCACGCATGCCAGCAACCCTCCCTGAGCCCACTGGCCTCCCACCCCTGGCCTTACATTTTTAGTAGTTGCTTAGCAGGGAGGGGTGGAAACTTCCAGACAGCTCGCCTTCGCTGCAGACAACTTGCAGCACTCTCTATTCAAGAGAGTCTATTCTATTGGCTTTCAAAAGCCAATAGAATAAAAGGGAGTAGCACAGCTAAGGAAAAGGGGGGAAAAATGGCGGACTGCGCTGTTTGGTGACCCCCATGAAATGGTCGTTCGACCCCAAATGGGGTCCCAACCCACAGGTTGAGAACCGCTGATCTACATTAACACAGTTGCTGCTAAATGACCATACAGTACTTAACTGTGAAAGCCCTCACTGCATTTTTGAAACATTGCTCAGTAAGTGATGCAAGCCAGATAGAGGATTACCAGGCATTTCCTTGCCAGCCAGACTGCAGGAGGATTCAAGTGACACGGCAGTTTTTTTTTCTAATAGCACTTAAAAAACTAAGGAAGTTATTCTAACTTTTACCATCTGTAAGTGAAATGTGAGTGCATAATCCATATAATTTAATCATGTTTACATTCAGAATGCACCACAGCTCTAGTTTAAAATAGCTCTTTGGACTGAAGCTTTGTGTACACAACTACCAGGAAAAACACAACAGCTGTATACAGTACAGGGAAAAACCCAATAACAGAGACTCTTGTAGCACCCAAAATATTTCTTTTTCATCTTTCAAGTGCCACCTGAATCTTTGTTATGTCAGATTCAGACATTAATAGAAATGTTTTGTGCTCTACACAGCACATTCCATTGAAATTCAACTTTTACATTAAAGAGTTTTGTTCCTGTTTTATATGTTCTTGTTCCTGCATTACACGTGCATCTGGAAATATGTCCCATTGAACCTAAAAGGGTTTCCCCCCCGAAAAGTGATCATTATAGATTATTGCATTAATTTGTTGCCTTTATTAATTTGCCATTTTTTTCGGATTTTTATTTTGACTGCCTTATCCATTGTCGGGATTCTTAAAAAGGTCTCTAGTAGAAGATGGGGGCGGACCCTACGCAATCTGCGGGGTTTGTTTCCGTGATCCCAGATAACAAAGTCATTCAATAAATCCTAATTCAGGTAGATATAGGTTGGTGAAATGCACAATGTTACTGAAGAGTCGTATAAAAATTTTTTTTTAAAAAAATTAGGATGTCTTCCAGTTTGGAGACATTAAATACAGCATATCAGAATATATTTTAAATAATTTTCTCTTGCCCAAAGAATGGCTAAGCCATTCAAGGTTTAGGGGACAGTGTAGATGTCGGCGTCACCGAATCCGGCATTTTCCTCGGTGGGGATCATGGGAGTTGAAGTCCAAAACAATTGAAGAACTCCGGGCTAGGAAGGCTACGCTGTTTCCCATCCCTCCAGCTATTCTTTCTCACCGCGGACTCTCTGGCCTTATCGGAAGCTCTCCAAATTACGGCGCTCGAGAATAAGAAAAGGCGCTCGGCTTTGAAGTGGCTTCCGCCGCGTTTACAAGAGACAAGAACTGGCGCGTGTGAGGAAGGAGGCCCGAGCACAGCTGGGCTCGCCTTGCCCACAGCCACACCTTTAGGCGGGAATGCGGGCGGCGGAAAGCCCGTCGCGCGTGTCGGATCCCACCCGGGGTTTGTAGCCGCGTAGGCGTCTTCAGGGCCACGAGTCGGCCGTTGGGGTACTCCGGCACGTGCCTCCTTTTGTTTTTCAAATATTGCTCGGCGCTTTTGTTTTTCCCCGCGATGAACCAGCCAGAGGTGGAGAAAGAGGGAGGACGCAACTGAGTGGTTGTTACGAGCAACCATTCCCTCTGTGCCTTTTTTTTCTCCGCCCTCCTCAACCCTCAGGCTGGGTTTTTTTTTTTTTTGTTATTATAATTTCCCTCCCCTTCCTTCATTCACTACAGTCCAGAGTGAGAGGCGGAGTCACCACGCGTACCCGCGGGAGCGGTTGTAAGACCGCAACGCCGAGGGCGCCTGCTGTGAGCTTTTCGCCGCTGCCACAACTGAGCTCAGCGCGCGGCACGTCCCGCTTCGCTTCCCAACTCCGGGTCATCTTCAGTGTCCCTTTTCTTTTCCTCTCTTCTTTTCTACACCGGCTGTAGTAGAAATATCCCCGGATACGAGCTAGGTGAGTAGCCGATTACGCCCTGGCAAGGTTTCCTTGCTCTGCCCTTCCTTTCTCCTCTACCGTCTCCTGAGCCGGATGGCTTTCAGCCTTGCTGAGATGCCCTGAATGAGAGATCGCGGGGAGGGGGGCCGCGAGGAGGCAGACCATGCTAAAGAGAAAGCCGCGACAACATTCGGACCGCCCGCTTTCTCCGTGAGCCGGGGTCGCTAGACGGATACTCTTCAGCAATGGCTCCGGACGAATTTCCCCGAGCGGTTGCACCGATCGACGTGTGCTTCGGCGCTCAGCTACACGCCAGGCTGGGAGTCCATTTTGCAAGCAGCGTGGTGCATGATGCAATGTTTATAACGATAGGCGATGTGGAGGAGGACGGAAGCATGCGCCCTGCCTAGGTAGATCGGAGCACGCGGGCTAGCGAACGGATTGGATCGGCTTTCCGTTTTTCTCTCCTCCCGACCTTCTTAGGGCGCTTTCCAGGCGACCCCTTACAGGCTCAGATCATAGGCGCCAAGCGGCTAAGGCTAAGCTAATTGGGTTTAAGGGATGACACACGTCCTTCCTTAAATGGTCCTTTTTTCGGATCATGCAATGGCGGGGGGGGCGACGATTCTTTAAAGTGACTCATCACTTAAAATCCAACAACTGGACAGTTTCACACTTAATTTGACTTGGGTTGGTTTCAGTTCGGGATATTCCCCCTGATGCAATTGTAACCTACATATTAAATAAGATGGTTCTCCGTTTATTTATGGTAACGAAACTTGTGTTTGCCTTAGTAATCTATGGAAAGAATATAGGGTGGTTGCTCAGTATATCGTTAATGGCTGTTTTATGAATCGGACTTTTTTTTTCCTGCCTCCTCTTTCTTGTGATCTATGAACTGGACACAAACAATCGCTCTAAAACATTATATATTTTCTAGGCAAATTACACATAAAGTTCCAAAACTGGTTTCAGTGTCGTATCTCCTGCAGTGAAAATTGTGACTTTGAAAGGAATGATGACTCCTTTGCTTAAGTTTGCCCTGGAAGTTATATTGTTATAATATAAAGAGATTGTCCCCCTGCTCCCCATCACTCTAAATAGCTGCCAACATAACAAGGACTTACCGTATGTTAGGTATTCTGCAACCACGAATTTCAACAGTGATCATTGTCCTGGTGACCCTCCATTGA